AATATTGGACCACAGTTAAATTAGTTAAGCCACATAAAGTGCTATCTAAATTTATTTTATAATTTTCCTTTGGCGTAACACCATTGAAAAGGGGCCTTGAAAAACAATGTTCCTTTGCATTGTTTTCTCCCTATCTGCCTGGATAAAATATTTGCCAGCCTGGAAAAAGCTGACCAAAAATAGGGCTCTGATAATGCAGGGTCTTTTAATTAGATTTTTAAAGGACTGAAAATTAACGTGTCTTATGAATACCCTGAGAGGCAGCTTCTTCTTTTTGTTCCCTCACCTCACGCCACCCTCAGATGAAGGGGAGTTGAAGTTTAGTTCTGTGTCCTTACCTGCTCAGCACCACCTGCTCCTCACAGTTACACTTTCCTTTCTAGTCAGTGCTGTCAGTGATGTGTATCAGTTGGGGATTATTATTATTCTTTTCTTGGTGATGTTATTTTTCATATTTATTTCTATTCTGTAGAACATTTAAAAACATATATTGGTTTTTATGCTATTTTATGCTGTTTCAAAAGAGGGAATTGCTACCATTACCTTTTAAATGTCTTGTGTACAGTTTCATCTTGCTGTCTGCCATGGTACCTAAAACAAAGCAGATTCTGAATGAACGAAGAAAGTTGATTATCTTGATATCTTGTTTCTGAGTATGTCTGGTCACCTCCTAATTGAGTACCTTGTTTCTGGTGCTGCTATATTATAACTACCCTACAAATGTTCCTAAAGTAAAGAAAAATAGAAAAATAAACTGATTTTTAGGAGCTTTCTGTATCAATAGGACCTGAAATAATACACAGAAATAAATGCTTTGATTCTGAGCTGCCTTGTTATTAATGATACACAAATTAGATCCCAACTTTTTTGTGTGTCTCGCTCTGTCACCCAGGCTGGAGTGCAATGGTGCGATCTCGGCTCACTGCAACCTCTGCCTCCCGGGTTCAAGCCATTCTCCTGCCTCAGCCTCCTGAATAGCTGGGATTGCAGGTGCCTGCCACCACGCCTGGCTAATTTTTGTATTTTTAGTACAAATGAGGTTTCACCATGTTGGCTAGGCTGGTCTTGAACTCCTGATGTCAAGTGATCTGCCCGCCTTGGCCTCCTAACGTTCTGGGATTACAGGTATGAGCCACTATGCCTGGCCCCAACTTTTTTTTTTTTTTGAAATGGAGTCTCACTCTGTCAGCCAGGCTGGAGTGCAGTGGGACGATCTTGGCACCCTGCAACCTCTGCCTCCCAGGTTCAAGCGATTCGCCTGCCTCAGCCTCCCGAGTAGCCGGGATTACAGGGCTCACCACCTCGCTAATTTTTGTATTTTTAATAGAGACGGGGTTTTACCATGTTGCCCAGGCTAGCCTAGAACTCCTGACCTCAGGTGATCCACCAACTTCCCTTGGACTACCAAAGTGCTGGGGTTACAGGTGTGAGCCACCGTGCCTGGCCGGCCCCAACTTTTTAATCTTACAAATTCCCTTCTGTAAGTTGAAGAAAATATTTGCCTAAATCCCAATTGTTTAGATTCTTAATATAGATTATGCTTTCATTACATAAATGGTTTATCCAGCTTTGAAACTGTCAGGTCAAGAGCTTTGGGTATCAAGGAAGGTGTGGGAAAACTGGGAAAGACATTTCTCCGAACATCCGACTAAGCTGGTAGCCCTGTGGAGGTAGGAAGTGGGTAAGGGGGGATCCAGAATTCTGAAAGAGGTAATAGTGGTGTGGAGAGCAGGAATACTAAAAGTCACTGAAACTTGAGTTTAGAGATCAGCCTGGGATGATATTTATAAATGTATCGTTATTTTGGCTGTCGGGCGTGTGAACATCCTTCCATGTTTAAGAAAGTTTCCATCCCTATGTTTTAAGGGATTCCCTTAGAGGAGCTCAGAGTTTGCTTTTGCAGCCTTTCTTAGGGCTAGGATGTGGGCACCCCATCTAGAAGCCACCAATCAAGTGAACATGTCCCAGACATTGAAGCAGAAACTACAGTAGGAAAGTGGGACCAAGTTGAACCCATCCTGGGGGTGGAGGGAGTGGGGTGGACATGCTGGCAGCTTCCTTTAGGGCCCATGGCAGCACTTCTGGCAGTAGTCCTGATGTCCATTGTGTGGATGATGGAGTGAAAGCCACTGTCTCTGTGCTTAGTTGTGTTGGAAATGGTATCTTCAGTGAATTTGTTCTGCCCTGTGATTTTGGTTGGTGCTTATGTTAGGTGTCTATTGCTGCATAGCAAATTACCCCAACATTTGGCAGCTTAAAACATTGAATATTCCCACCGTCCCTGTAGGTCAGGAACCTGGATGTGGCTTAGCTGGGTCCTCTGCTCAGGGTCTCTCTTGAGGCTGTAATTAAGGTGTGCTCTGGGGCTGCAGTCATCTCACGGCTGGACTGAGGGAAGCTCTGCTTCTGAGATTACTTTAGTGGCTGTTGTTGGCACATTTCAGTTCCTTTCAGGCTGTTGACTACTGAGGCCTCTCTCACTTCCCTGCCATGTGGGTCTCTCCATAGCACAGCTCACAACACGTGTGTGTGTGTGTGTGTGTGTGTGTGTGTGTGTGTGTGAGAGAGAGAGAGAGAGAGAGAGAGAGATAAAGAGAGAGACAGAGAGAGAAAGAGAGAGATAAAGAAAGAGAGAGAGCTCCCGGAAAGGAGAGAGAAGTTTGGGGAAGCAAGCAAGAAGGTATAATGTTTCTATAACCTGATCTCAGAAGTGACCTTCCATCACTTTTGCTGTACTCAGTTCATTAGAAGTGGGGCACTAGGTCCAGGTCACTCTCAAAGGGAGGGGATTGCAGAAGGGTGTGAATACTGAGACAGGAGACATTTGTACTATTATTTACAGGCTGCCTACTGCAGTGGCCTTGCCCTCTTAGCCTCAAAGCCTGGTTCTGCCCCACCTCCCACCCTCTAATTCTGGAAGCCATTCAGTATTTTGGTAATAAATATTCCTTTCTGCTTGTAGTAAGAAGCCTTACTAATACAGATGGCTGCCCTTGAAGCTTTTCTCAGACCCCTGGGCCTTACCCCCTGCTATCCTTTTTAGTTTACATTTACTGTTTTTGAATGTAATTTGAGAAATGCAGGAAAGGAAAATGTAAATTTCACTTGTAGCACTGTTACAAAGAGATAATTACCCTTAACAATTGACCATATTTATTTTTAGACTTTTCTGCTGTTTTCTTAATCACTGAGATAATATAGTATATATAATTCTGTAACTTAATTGTCTTAATATCTTGTAAGAATGTTCCCTGTCAAAAAGCCCCTCCTTTTTAAAGTGTGTTGTTGAGTAAGTCAGGAGTGGCCTGGTCCTGGGGGAGGTGCTCAAGCTGGGCCGGAGTCCCGCTGCATTGTCTGTGAAAGAGGGGCTTGCTAAATGCAAAGTGAGGCATAATTGTTAAGGAGGCATGTCACCTGCTTAGGTGAATAAGCTGCTCTGAGGGACATTAGCATGCTTGTTGTTGTCATAGTTCCTTTGTTCTGCTATAACAAAACCACCTTAGACTGGGCAACTTGTAAACAACAGAATTCATTGCTCTTGGATCTAGATGCTGGGAAGTCCAAGATTAAGGTGATGGCAGATTTGGCATCTGGTGAGGGCCTGTTTCTCATGGATAGTACCTACTTTTTGTGCTCACATGACAGAAGGGGCAAGGGAGCTTGTTGGAGCCCTCATGACTTAATCACTTCCCAAATGCCTCTTAATACTATCATATGGGTGGGGTATTAGGTTCTAATACATGGATTTTGGGGGACACCAACATTCACACCACAGCAGTTGTACATAATGGGATGGAGTGGTAGTTGTTGTGATGGGTCATCTATTCTATTTTTTAATTTTTAATAAAAGTAGAGATGGGGTCTTACTATGTTGACCAAACTGTTCTCAAACTCCTAGCTTCAAGCAGTCCTCCTGCCTTGGCCTCCCAGAGTGTTGGGATTACAGGGATGAGCCATCATGCCCAGCCAAGTCATCTTGTTTTTTGGTGGAGGGGGTTTCTCACTTTGTCACCCAGGCTGGAGTGCAGTAGTACAAACATGACTCACTGCAGCGTCAACCTCCTGGGCTCAAGTCATCCTCCTGCCTCAACCTCCTGTGTAGCTGGAATCATAGGCACCTGCTACCATGCCAAGCAAATTTTTTGATTTTTTGTAGAGACAGAGTCTCATTTTGTTGCCCAAGCTGATCTTGAAATCCTAGGGTCAAGTGATCCTCCCATCTCAGCCTCCCAAAGTGCTGGGATTACAGGTGTGAACCACTGCGCCTGGCTCCAGGTTCCAAGTCATCTATTCTTGAATAGAAGCCTGGTTTGATTTTTTAAACTATAGTAACTCTAATTAATTCTACTTAATTGAAACTAAGACGACTTCCCTTTTTTGAAAATCTCTACTCCCCCTTATTTTGCCCCTAATTCAAACTGTCTGTTTTCTAGTCAGTCTGAAGTAATGATTAGCTAATGATACAACATTTTATTTTCAGTTTTTACATTTCAAAAATGATTTTTAATTGTAGTAAACTACATGTGACCTAAAATCTATCTAACATCTTAACTATTTTTAAGTGTATACAATAAACCCTTTTTAAAGTGTGTTCAATAGTATTAAATACATTCCCACTGTGTGCAGCCAGTCTCCAAAACTCTTCGTCTTGTAAAACTGAAACTCTATACGCATTCAGCAACAACTCCCGATACCCTCCTACCTTCAGCCCTTGGCCATCACCATTCTACTTTCTACCTCTATGAATCTGATGTAAATGGAATCATACAATACACTTCCTTTTATGTCTAGCTTATTTCAATCAGCATAATACCTTCAAGGTTCATTCATTTTGTAATATGTACCAGAATTTCCTTCTTCTTAAAGGCTAAGATTCCATTGAATGTACATACACATTTTGTTTATTCTTTCATCCGTCAGTGGATGCTTGGGTTACTTCCACCTTTTGGCTATTGTGAATTTATTCTCATTTTTAAACGGGATGTTTTGTTCCATTTCAGGGTAAGAAGTTGCCTTATCATCTTGGGGATGATGCAGAGGAAGGGGAAGTTTCCGATGAGGACAGTGCAGATGAAATTGAAGACGAGTGCAAATTCAAGCTCCATTATGTAAGTTGCAGGCATGACCATATTTTTTATCCTTGATATGCTGTATTACAATGGAGTTCCAAGTTGCTACTGTGTTGGAGGCCTCACAATTACGGTGGCTGTGGTGTAGAAAGGATATTCATTGAAAATTACTTTGTTTGCTGGCACACAGACACTCAAATGTTTGTTGAATGAATGATTCAAGGATTCTTGTGTCTGAGTGTTGAAAGGAATTTTAGTGATTAATTCATTCAACCCTCTCTCCAGGTATCAATTTCCTATTACAGATTCAAAAAATCAAATTGTGGTTGAAAAAGTTACTGTCTTTGGTAATAAAAGCTGGCTTTACTTTAGCGTTGACTTCCCTACCTCATGCTAGCAGCCCCACCATGCTCCCTGTCAAGGCTGTTTGGAGGAACCCCACCTGCATGTGGGCCTGCTTCTCTGGGATGCCCATCCCCTCTTTAAGAAAATGTACCTTGAACCAGAGGGATTTCCAAGCCCTTCCAGATATGGACCTCTTGGCTAAATCTTTAATTTGCCAAGTCTTCAATAAAGTGGCATAGAATAGTTTGTTACTTGCTTGGTGCGTCAGCCCCCTTTTCTAGATGAAGGAGCCTCCTTGGTAGAAAAGCATCATTGAGGCCGGGTGCGGTGGCTCACGCCTGTAATCCCAGCACTTTGGGAGGCCGAGGCAGGCAGATCATAAGGTCAGGAGATTGAGATCATCCTGGCTAACATGGTGAAACCTCATCTCTATTAAAAATACAAAAAAATTAGCCAGACGTGGTGGTGGGCGCCTGTAGTCCCAGCTACTCGGGAGGCTGAGGTGGGAGAATGACGTGAACCCGGGAGGAGGAGTTTGCAGTGAACCAGGATTACGCCACTGCACTCCAGCCTGGGCGACAGAGCGAGACTCTGTCTCAAAAAAAAGAAAAAAAGAAAAGAAAAGCATCATTTAGCTAGGTGATCCAAGGGAAATTCAAACCTGAGGGAAATATAAGACTTAAAAAGGTGCGTCATTGCTCCTTTCTATAACTCATGTGATTGCTAGAATCACACAGCAACCTGAGAGTAGCACTCGCTGATGATAGTTTGGTATAGAATTTTATTTCTACAGAAAAGGTTAGTCCTCTAGACATCAAGACTATGATTCTGCCCTCTAAAAAAAGAAAAAAAAAACAACCGAGAAATTTTGCATACATTCTTGTCGTTTACACCATTGCCATGAATTCAGTTATTACATTGTTAACAACAGTCCAACTCTTCAGATAATTCTGTGATGCCTTTCCTGTGGTTGTGAAAATGAGCTGGCATTATTTTCAAAGGGGACAAGAGTTTAATGACAGCTGAAGTCTCAGTAGACACTTCTTTCTTGGCTTTAATGCCCTTTAAATGGGCTAAATGGAGAAGATTCAGCTTGAAGTGAAAAGGAAAAGTTACCATCTGTATTCTTCTCTTGCCTTTTAATAGTTTATGTTAGCAAAATTAAATACCATTAATTAATAGGGCTATGGTTACAGAAAATCTCAATAGATTTACATGTTTGAAAACTATGCTATGTCATTATACAGTTAATATTTTAAATAGTTGCTTTTTTCTCTTCTAGGTATTTATTTTTTTATAGTTATTTATGATTATGGATAATTTAGCCTTGGTTTTTAGCATTACTTTATAAACCAGATTTTTGTCTCTGATTTTTATCATTTTGCATCTTGTTTTCTAGATCTCTTGGTTGCCAGCCGTAGTGTAGATCTATCATTATTCACTTAGCTATTTCATTTTTCTTCTCCAGTGAGCTCTCCAACTTCCTAAGTTCAATATATGTGATTATGCAAAAATAGTAAGCTGTAGTCTTATGGGAACAAATAAATAATTTCACCTGTGAAGCATCCAACTAGATTCCTCTTTTCTTTACTAAGAGTAGTTGATTTCTGGACACTCACATCAGGAGATGGTTTAGAACGTGATTCCATGGAGTTAGATATGATCTTTCATTTGGATTCTTTGGTGTGGCCCTAAGTGAAAGTAGAACACCTTAACTGTAAGTTTACAGGCATCTCTTTGTTATATTTTAGAAGAGAAAATAAATAAATCAACATTGAAGAAATATTGGAGAAATATTTCAAATTGTTTTTTGCTATTTTTGAGCTCTTCTGAGAAAAGGCAATGCTGTGTTTAGAAAACCAAAGTGTTATCTTGTAATCAGACCATTTATAGTCCTATTGTTGGCAGAGGGCTCAAATGCCCTATCTGACTGGGGAATTTATAATAAATTCCCTGATAAACTGAATATCTGATCATATTTCTGCAAAAGAGGGTGTACTTTGGATAGTTTATGTGAACCAATAATTATCTGAGAGGAAGCTTTTAACCTCAGTTTTAAGTTGAGAGAATGTGGTTAGATTTATAAGTTATATCTGAATTATTGCAATGAATAGACATTTTAACTTTGCATTCATTTACACTGGAACGCCAACTCTCATGAGGTCATATAAGATTCATCTGCACATTCAATGAACTTTTATTAAACATCTCCTGTTGGACATGTGCTCGTCATGTTGTAGGTACTGGATGATATATCAGTAACAAAATAGACAAAAATCATTGCCTTCGTGAAGTTTACACATCATTGGGAGAGGATGAGGATAGACAAGAAACAAGACAAATAAGTAAAATATATAGTGTACTAGACAGTGATCAGTGCTAAAGGAAAGAAGGGTGTGTGTGTCTGTGTGCGTGTGTGCACACTTATGCTGTGTATATGTAGGGATCTATTGAAGTTTTAGATGGGGTGTCCAGGAAAGGCCTCACAGGGAAGATGCATTTGAACAAAGGCCTGAAAGAAGTGAAGAGTTAGTCATGCTGATACCTGAGGAGGAATGTTCCAGGCAGAAAGAACCCCAAGTGCAAAGGCCAGAAGCGGGATTTGAGGCTCTCCCAGTGCCACCCTGGAGTTAGAAGTAGAACAGGAGGACAAGACTCCTGTTACTTTTAAGCAAGCAGTTTAAGCCATACTGTGGCTCCAGCCATAGAGAAAATCTGGCTTATAATGGGTAAGCCACAAGGTAAAGCCAGTGTGTTCGGTGACCCAAGAATCATACAACGCAGAGACACAGAGGACGACTTCCTTTCAACCAAAGTAGTAATCTAACAGATTTGATTCTGTGAGGCGAAGTCACCATTATTCATCTTTATAGATCTTCTAATGTCAGCATGCTCTACACATTTTCCACCTCTGTATTTCAACTTCATTAATTTTTTTCTGCTTCTGATGAGTTATGCAGTATCTTTTTTCTTGTGTTCTCTAAATCTGTTTAGCCAGATTCTCGGGCATAAACATTAGCTCTATATCTCCTACATAAAGCTCATCCCGTAAACACCAAGCCTTCCAGCAAGTTCTAAAGGAGTCCTAGTGCAGTGACATGTAGCAATTTTTGTCTTACACTCTAAAACCATTATTCAGACTGCATGTGTATATCTCTCACTAAACATTTTAATCATTTTCCTCCCTCATCTTTTTTCCTAAGTCATTCCTTTTATGCTTTGAGCTGTCCTAAGAAGGATTGTGAATCTTGTTTGTTTAAAACATATCAGCACTCAAAGACAGAATGAGTTACCTCTTGAGGTTGCAAGGTCTTGCTATTGGAAAGCGTTCATTGGGTTAAAAAGCCCAGGTGCTGGGCACACTAGTACATCCTGGCAACAAGAGGTAGGGAATGATAAAGGTGGCTTGGAATCTCCCTGGAAGATCCTAGTTGTTTCTAATACATGGATATGACTGGTCCTCGAACAGAAGAATGTGTTGTTAAGTGAGCTACAGGAGCAGGCAGGTGACGGTAGAGGACAGGAGTAAATACACAGGCTTGAATGGCTGAGAAGCAGCTGTTCTTCAGCTGAGACCTTGAGGTCTTACAGCTTGGAAAGCAGTGAGGCACTCAGAAAAGCCAGCAATATATTTTTCTTCCCATTTTTGGACTTTAGCCAAAGGGAAAAAAAATGGGGGGGAATGTTGAAATACTTCAGTTTTTAGTTTTTTCCCTCCCCCCCCCTTTTTTTTTTTTTTTTTAAGCAAAGCAAAGGTCCTCAACTTTTTTGCTGTTTTGTTTTGTTTTGTTTTTTTAAAGCAAAGGTCCTCAACTTGGGCCACGCATTGGTATGATGGGTAGTTTTCAAAAACCCCTGTGTCTGGGTCTTGGCCCAGGGATTCTACTACATGGGTCTGGGGCATGGCCTGGGATTTCTGAGCACGCCACTGGTGCTGGCAATGTGTAGTACAGGTAGAGCCCACTATTTGGAAGGTCCCTTTCAAGGAGCAGCACCCAATTTCTCCCCTTTCCTGGATCTTTCCAGTCTGGAATGATGGTCGTGGTTTGGGGCATCCTTCTGAGTATTCAGCAATGATTTAGCTTCGTGCTGGAGACAAAATGAGAATGTGTTTAATGTATTTACTTGTGGTAGAGGGATTCCTGGATCAGACTTATCTCTCAAAAAAGGACATAGAGAACTCTGATTACTTCTCTGTTGGAAACTACCCACCATATGAAATGACTGCTCTCTCCTGGCCCCCAGCTGCAGCGTCCTTCCTCGCCCACTGGCCGAGAGAACAAAAGACCAAGATACCTATGGCTTTCAGCTGTGGTCCCTGCTGCAGCTGCATGGTGCCTGGTAGGTCTCGAGGTCAAGTGTCTGTCTTAGCTTCCTTTCAGTAGTGCTATTGGATTCCAGGGCCGAATGATAATATATTAATGAAACCTCAGCCACACATTTATTTGTTCTTCACAGCTGCCAATTTTCTTGTGCTGTAAATCACAGAGAAGAAAAAGATCAACAGGCAGAGATATGATTCCTTTAGCAGCTCCCAGTGTTTGGAGGATGTGAAGTAAATAATCATAGCGTTTGTGTTAAGCATTCATTATTTTACCAGCTCTGGGTCGGCTTTGGCTTTGTATTTTGAGCCTTGCCTTGCTGACAGTGAAAGTGACTTGGTGTCATGGCCACAGATCTTCTCCTTACTTTAAGTCTCTGCCTGTTTGTGAGGCCCTGGGTGAGGGAAGGAAATGGATGCTCATTTGGAGCATTCTGTATGACACTGGATACCCTAGGTGCTCTTACATGCTTTCTTTTTTTTTGTCCTCTCAACAAATGCACACTCCATTGGGCCCTGGGTCTTGATCAAATGCGTTGGGGGTTAGAGATGTGGAGTTCTTTTCTTGGATTTGCTTTTGACCTTAAGTGAAATTGTTTTTCCCAGAGGGATTGTGATGATGTATTTCCCTGGTTTCATGATAGAAATAATGGCTTTTTAAAATATGAACCTGTATGTGGTTACTTTGACTCAAGAATTTCTCTTTTTCTGTAACAATGTAAGAGGGATGGCTGCCACATTGTATGGAAAAATAGACACAGTCTTGAATGGGAAGTCTTAGGAGGTTCGAGCTGCAATTCAGCCATTTTCGTAGGCATGTGTGTTTGGTTAAGTGGTTGAACCTTTCTGCCTGTGTCATTACGAGAAAGAATTGGCTAACCTAGTGTTTGCCTTAAATGGGGTTCAGCAGCTCAAATGAAGTATCTTTACATGACAGTGCTTTGGAAGCCTTAGTACAATACAGTCTCCCCCTTATTTGTGGGTTTGCTTCCTGCAGTCAATCATGGCCCAAAATACTGAATGAAAAATTCTATGAATAAACAATTTGTAAGTTGTGAATTGTGTACCATTCTGAGAAGTGTGATGAAATCTTGCACTGTCTACTCCACCCCACCTGGGATGTGAATCATCCCTTTGTCCAGTGTATCCAACCATTACTATGTGGGAAGAAACATAGCATACATAGGGGTCAGGAATATCCATTGCTTTCAGCATCCAATGAGGATTTTTTGATGTATCTCCCACGCATAAAGGGGGCCTACTGGGTACAATCTTAGTTGCTTTTTCTATATTTCCCTGTGGCTCTTCTCTCCTTGCTCATATGATTACTGGTTCTTTTGATACTTTTTGTTTTCTCCATGCTTTTCCTCACATTGAAATGCTGTCCCCCTACTCTTTGCCAGATGATCAGCTCTTAGTCATGACAGTGGGTTGATTTGTGGCCACTGAAAGATAGGTTCAAGTCTTAACGCCTGGTACCTGTGTATGTGAGCTTATTTGGAAAAAAGGGTCTTTGCAGATATAATTAAGTTAAGGACTTCAAGATAATATAATCCTGGGTTAACCATGTAGGCCCTAAATCCAGTGATAAGTGTCCTCATAAGAAGAGAAGACACAAACAGGTGGATGAGACATGCATGAGAAGACCATATAAAGACAGAGGTAGAAATTGGAGTGATACTGCCACAAACTGAGGAATACATGGGGCTATCCTAAGCTGGAAGAGACAAGGAAGGATCCTCCCCTAGAGCTTTCAGAGGGAGTGTAGCCCTGCCAACACCTAAATTTCATACTTTTGGCCTCCAGATGTGTGAGAAAATAAGTACATTTCTATTGTTTTAAGATACCAAGTTTGTAGTAGTTTGTTATATTGGTCACAGGAAACTTTATTTTATTTTATTATTATTTTTTAGAGACAGGGCTTTGCTCTGTGGCCCAGGCTGGAGTGAAGTGGCATGATCATAGCTTACTGCTGCCTCAAACTCTTGGGCTCACAGGATCCTTCCACCTCAGCCTCCCAAGTAGCTAGGACTACAGGTGTGTGCCACCATGCCCAGCTAATTTTGTAAATTTGTGTAGAGACAGGGTCTCACTATATTGCCCAGGCTGTTCTCAAACTCCTGGGCTCAAGCGATCCTCCCAGTTTGGTCTCCCAAAGTGCTGGGATTACAGACACATGAGCCATGGCACCCGGCCAAGTCACAGGAAACTAATATACTCATCTTTTAAGGCTTGACTCAGGTTTCTTCTGCTCCTGGAAGTGTCCCTTGATTCCCCTAGGCTGGACAAGGTACGCCTCCTCTGTGTGCATATGCTACCCCTCACACCTGTCACTCTACTTGTTCCTGCTTATGTAATTATCCAGGGATGTGTTGGCCTTCTCCATGACACTGAGGGCTCTGTGACAGTGGGTGGTATTCCTCTTTAATACTTCTCACCTGGCACAGCAGACGCTCAATACATGGTTTTTTTTTTTTTTAATATATATATACAAAATGAGTTTTGTCCCCAAATTATCTCTCAACTTTGTTAACTACCCCCAGCACATTATCCTAGGCACTCAGTTCCTGCAGTGGGGCCCAGTGTGCCTGATGTTTCATCTGCAGACACACTTCCTCTTTTGGCACACCCTGCCAGATTAATATTGTTTCTAGAGATGCTACACAAGGACTTGTTCACTCAGACTCTCTTAGCAGCTTCATACCTCTTGCTTTCAAGTCCCTCCACTCTCCAAAGTTCTTTATCTGCCACTACCGTACCCTATGAACTCTAAGAAAACTCATGTGTTCTTTGCATTTACAGAACATTCTTAATTCATGTAAATCCTTTGCTAGAACTGTGGTTGGCAGGAAAGCTCTTCTTTCCATCACTGTTGAAATCTCAGTTACATTGAGAGCTCCGATCAATTCCCTCCTCTTTTTGGGGCCTTCTCAGTCACTCAGGCAGTAATGCTGTGTTCCTTATCAGAAACTCTGTTGTATTGGTTGTCTGTGCTTTTGTAGGCATCTTTGTAGACCAGGGTAGAATATTTGGGGATATGTCTTTTCTAGCATGACAGGAGGGTGTTCCCTTATGGTGTTAGAGCCAACTCTTTTTCATCCTTGCATCTCCTTCTGGACCTAGAGGTCTCCAGGGAAGTGGAGTGCCTTGTTAATTGGGCTTGTTAAAGATATTAATGCATGTGATAGTGATACAGGGAAATTCGATAACCTATCCTGGTGTAGATTTTTGAAATTTTTCCTTAGGGCATTTATAATTGCTTTGTTCTTACAGGATTTTGTGAAAATGAATGCATTATTGGAAAGCTACCCATTATGCAGAGTTGACATATAATGACCTCTTAGAAACAGATTTGCCAATGAAAGAACAGCCTTAAATTTTTGGTGAAGAATGTGGGAATTGTTCTTGTCAAGGAGTACCCCTTTCCTCCCTTTGGGTGGGTTGTTCTTCAGCAAGTGGTTGAAGAATTTAGGGAAAGGTATTGGAAACAGGGAGAGGTAGGCGCACTGGAAGAGCAGAAGAGCTGTGAAGGGAGACTGGGGCCATTGGTTTCAAGCAGAACCAGTGGCCGAAAAGCTGTGCTAAGCAGGGCTTTGAGAGAATCTATATCCCATGATCACCTCAAAATTCTGTGAGTCATCAGCTGGACAGGTTGTAGCTCTGATATCCAAACCCCTTGAAGTTCGTTGTGATCTTAAGTTAATTGTAATGACAAATCATGTCTGAGGTAATTATTGAGGTTCCCCCAACTATACAGTGGGATTGGAAATAGGCAGGAAATGTATCTCACAATAATCCTCAACTCCGGAAATTTCCATAGCATTCTTTTCTCCTCAGTGAAAAAGGTAGTTTTATTTTAATAGCATATTTTTGTTCTAATTTACTTATGTAGGTTTAGAAAACTTAGTTTCCAAAAACTTTCCCTGGCCTTTTATCTGTTAAAAGCATCAAATAGCATAAGCATAGTGGGAAGGGCTTTGGAGTCCTGAGTTTGAATCCTGCTTCAGTTATTTGCTAGCTATGTAACCTTGAGCAATTTACTTGATTTCTCTCTAAGCATCGGATTCCATATCACTGAAATGGAAATGATAATAATACTTATAAGGTTCCTGAGGATTGAATGCAGTCACATGAAGAGTAGCTGGCAGAGAATTAGTTCTTAATAAATAGTAATCCTTATTATTATAGGATTTGTGGAGGAGGGAAGACCGAGATGGTACAATGAGCTTGAGCTTAATTACTTACAAGTAATTGAGAGACAGTGAAATTACAGAAGCAACTGTGGTATATTCTAATTCAATGTGTTTCTTAAGGAAATCATTTGTATTACTTAATTCTTTGCAGAATAATGGGACCACTGAGCATCAGGTGGAATCTTTCATAAGGAAAAAACTGGAGTCACTGTTAAAAGAATCTCAAATTCGAGATAAAGAAGATCCTGATAGTTTCACAGTGAGGGCACTATTGAAGGCCACGCATGAAGGCTTAAATGCACACCTGAAGCAGGTATCTGATTCCCCCTCGTATTTATCCTTCAACAGGAAAAAGAAAGCATCTCATACGTTGTTTCTAATCATTTGTGAAATGCTCCTCCAACTTCTTCTATTTCTGTCCTCATTTTGCTTGAGAAATGAACATCTCCTATTGCAAAATGATATGAGAAATAGTTAAAAGTGGATTGGGTGGAGGTAGAAATGACTCAAATACTGCTCCACTTGGACCCTCAGGACCAAGCCAAGTGTTTTCAGAATCATCTTCCCAATGCATGCTCAGGTGAGGGAAGAAGTTCCAGGCCCCTGTGTCCCTTGCCCTCCCACCTCTCCACATTCATTAGATGTCTGCCTTCCCTGCTACTACCACCTGTCTTCCAGGGCTGACGGCTCCTCAGGCAGAAGGAAGATCATATGGGGGTGATCGCCCTTGGATCCTAAGTGATCACTCTGCATTGATGGTTGCCCTCTGGACCCTACACAAGTCTAGCCATCCAACTGCTAGGCTGTTCCTCAGGCCCATTTAGTTTCTAAACATAGAAATCCTAATTCAAAATGGCTTCAATGATGAAGTAGATGTTGGGTTTGGTAAGCAGCAAATTTATTTGCAGAATGGCCTATGGGGTGGGTTTAATCCAGAGGCTTGGTGGTGTCATCGTAGATCTATCTTTTTGCTCTACCTACCATGCTATCAGTGTCATCTCAAGTCTAGTTCTCCTGTCCGTCAACTGTCCATGATAGTTGCGAGATGACTGCCAACAGGCCCATGAGCTACGTGTTTCTTGGTCCATATCCAGAGAGATTGAGACAGCATATTCGCCCCAACTAACAAACGAGAGTTGCCTAGTTCATGTGCCTACCCCTAAAGTAATCACAGTGGCCATGGGTAAGCGTCCTTCCTGAAACAGTACTTGGCCAGAGTATAGGATCATAATAGCTTGCTAATGCCAGTGAGAACTTACCTCTGAAGCTCTTGTCAAGGTTAGCTCCTCTCAAACTGCATGTTAGAGGGGCAGATGGAATACTGGGGAGACAACCAAAAGGTCAATTACAGCATTACTGCCCTTATAGTTTATCATATAATTCTGGATTTTCTTAATAATTTCTATAAATAGTAACAATCTTCTCACCCTCCTCGCCTCCAGCCATTTATTTTCAACACCAGAAGTACCTGTAAGATCAGACTTGTTTAGCCTATCTTGATTCTGCTTCCTGTCCTTAGTGAACTCTCATTGGCTTATCTGGGCCAGTTACTTTTTTTATGCGTTTGGAGAAGTCTTTGCCCCATCCTAGATTATCTAATTGGAAATGCAAACCATAAGGCTTGGATATTCTGGAAGAAACAAATTAAGCCCCCTCTCTTTTGCTATTCATTAAAGAGATCCTAATGACAATTTCTCCATCAGGTAAAATGGTAAGAGAACCGAAAATTTTAGAGAGGTAGTGTAGCAAAACTCATCTTCTTTTTACTTATTTTTGAGGTTTTTTAACACTGCTGTGTTTTTAAAATATGGTTTTAGTTCACTGGGCAAGCAAAGGGAAGTTACTGTTGAGACGAGTCCATCTGTACCACATACATATGTCGGTTGAAATCCAAAGCTGAGAATGTGCTGAGTGTGGCTCTGGGCAGCACGTCACTCCAGCTTCTACTTTTCTGGACCGTCAATCAACAGTGCAGAATTCATTTCTATTTGTGCTGTCTTTTTCCTGCGGAACCCTGAAGAAAAGTAAAAATGAAATTCACCTTCAGGCTGGAAGAACTTAATAGTCACAGGAAATGGTTCTTAAGAGTTCTGGAATCTGCTGCTTTCTTTATATCTGAACTACTGCTGCCTGGATAACCTTAACAAGTTCCTAAGCTCTCAGCTGGCTGCTTAATGTCTCATTCACACCACTGCCATAGTGATAGTTCAGAAATGTGCATCGGGTCATGTCATTCTCCTGTTTTCAACCATCTCAGGGATCCTCATAGTTTGGAGGATAAAGCTCGGATTCAGAGATAATAGCCCATAAGATCCTTCCTTCCTGTTCTGGCTCCTAGCGGTGACACGCACAGAGTGTGCATGTGTATAAGTCCACACGTGCATACCTCCACTTTCCACATTTCCTGGCACCATGCTCTTACCACATGGCTTTCGTGTTGGCTATTTTCTTGGCCATAGTACACTTGCTCTTCCCCATTTTACGTAGATAACTTGTACTCATCTTTAGGCTTCAACTTTTTTATCATGTCCCCTTGGAAGTTCTTAATCCTCAAATACAGTAGATGGTCTCTCTCTGCCATCCCACAATGCCCTAAGCTTTCCCCATTATAGTCTTATGACAGTGTATTGTAATTGTTTTTCTCTACTATTAGACTGCAAGCCCAATAGGGGCAGAGTCTGCATCTCTTTTGTTTGCTCTTGTCCTTATATACATGCCAAGTTCCTAGGACAAAGTCTTACTCATTAAATCAGTGAAAGATGTGCCGATGCTCAGGGAGAGGCCCAAGTTGGTGACAGGTATTTGTAGATATCTATTTCCTACATAAAGAGCATGATAATGGGATAAATGGGGAAGTGGAAGGAAGCCAGAGAGAGGACTTGTAACTAGACAGAATCCTGTTTTATCACCAACGAGCTTTGTAACTTTGGAAATATAATCTAACTTGTCTGTATTTCTGCTTTCCTTTTCTGTAAAATTGGGATTTTAATCATACTTATTTCCAGGGTTGCTTACATATATTCTCATAGTAAATGAGAATATATGTAATGTAATTAACATTATCCTTAGGGTATAGTAGGTGCCTACTAAGTAGTGTGACCATATACCTCAATTTGCCTGTGACAGCCATGCTTTATACCTGTTGTCCCAGCATAATTATTAAAAGTATCCCATTTTATTCTTAAAAGGTCCTGTTTTGGACAATAAATGGCATGGTCCCCCTACCAATAGATGGGTTACTAGAAATAGAAAGGAACTCACAGATTAATTGGTTCATTTCACAGATTTAAAAAAAACAGACCAAAAGAAGAGGTTTTCTAAAGGACATGTAGCTATTTGGTGGCAGAACTGGGTCTTCTAACTTGGAGACCAGTGCTACATCTATGACCACATCTGGCTGCCTTCTTAATTCCACAGTTTTGGCCGGGCGCGGTGGCTCAAGCCTGTAATCCCAGCACTTCTGGGAGGCCGAGGTGGGCGGATCACGAGGTCAGGAGATCGAGACCATCCTGGCTAACATGGTGAAACCCCGTCTCTACTTAAAAAAAAATACAAAAAAC